ATTATGGCACACAATTTACTTACTACGAAAAACCCTTAAATTGTTAAATGATTTTATACATTTTTGTGTATAACTCGGTCTTGGCACATTCACAAAGATTAAAAGACTAAGAAAGTAATTTATATTGGTTAGAATATCGGAAAGAAACAAATTCCATAGGATGTAAATCAAAAATCCAAGTTTACTGCTTTTGTTTTGGATATGGGGGAAATTAAAGGTATAATTTACATGCTCTTACTTCCTCCAAGTTCTTGAAAAGGCAAAGGTACAGACTTGAAGGCTCTGTATTTCCCCACATTGTTCAAATGCTCATTCTCCAACCTGATTTTGCAAACAAAAAGATCATAAAACATTCATCTTTTACGATCTTTCAACATATACAAAATCGGGGTTTTAGTTAATATTTGAACCTGAAGAAGTTCCAAATGCCACGACGAACAATCTCTAAACTGCTAACAACAGCAACCAAAGCTCTTTTATGCAAAAATGGAGCTTCTTTAATCCCAAGAACCGTCTGCATCCACGCCAGTCTCAACACCACATTCACCACCTTCGTTTCACAATCCCAATCAAAGCGTTAAAAGCCGCCCCAAAACGCTACAATCAAACTAGAAATATATAAAAAAAAAAGAGCTTCTTTTGGTTGTTTTATTTTTGTTTTACCATGACAATGAAGTAGATGCTTTTGTGTGGGATTACGAGTTTGTCACGAAGCCATGGGTTTTTAGAGTTGCGGTTCATGAGACCCCAATCCATGAAAATGTCCCAATAAGTATTGAACAAGGTGGCAATGCTCGACGTGGTTACAGCCACCGTGAGCCAGTATGTCCCTCTCTTCACCTCGAATATTGTTCTAGCCGCAACTGCCAATATAGTTGACATATACTTCAACGCGTTTAGGCCGTGCATTTTGTCTTTCTCCTCAACCAGCCTCCTTATACTCTGCAATTAAAAACAAAATTTTGTTAAACATTAGTTTTGATTAACGTTTTGAAGCAGCAAGAGCCGCGGATTTGATGTAAACAACGGAATTTTAATGTTTCGAAATAGTAAGGGCATGTTCGTTTAGTGCCAAAACGTTAGTTTAAGTGTCGTGAGTTTGATGTAAAGTAGAGGTTTTTAAAGTTTTAAAGCAGAAAGGGAACTTTTGGGTTTAATGTAAAGTAAAAGATTTTTAACGTTTTGAAGCAGAGAGAGTGGTGGATGTAAGTACCTGAGCGAAGCGGAACCAGTAGGGAATGATGGCAACGACGAGGTATAGTTCTTGGTAAATCTCACTCTCATAACATGTGTGTGTTCGTTTCTTAAAATCTCCTCCCCATCCATAGTAGCAAACATAAAACAATAAGTTTCTGAATGTTTGCACCTACAAAACCAGAAACCAAATGATTTGTAAAGTGGAAAACAGACTGATAATCCGATGCTATGCCGAGCAACTCGTTACCTGACTTGTCAATTGATCTGCGAGGAAGAAATCCGGTAGAATAACCTGGCAAAAGAAAACACACTCACAAACAATATGTAACATCTTTTCAGGTTCAGCAAGAAGAACATAAACTATAAAATTTACTTGGATTGAACTTTACTTTGTAGAGAGGGCTTAAAAGACATCGGAAGACGGATCCGATAAAGAAATATCGGCTTGAGCGATATATTATATTGAATGGACAGAAAAGCACCATCATCAAGCACTGTGATCATAAGTAAAAACACATTTCTTCAGAGCTAACAATACGGATGTTATTGTTAGAGCTGATCAGTTTCAATAGTCTAATTTCTAAAACTTACAAGGAGAAGAGCTAAAGGAACGAGCTCGGTGATGACACTGAAACTTTTGGTTCTCGGATCCATTTCCATGTCTAGATTTGAGATGACTCCTGCAAACGTTAATACAGCTAGACCAGAGCCTATCATAAGAACTTCTCTGTAACCAAGATCATTCCCTTGCTCAAACCCGAAGATAAACGGGTAATTTACTCGATATCGACTCCAGAAATATATGTCTGCTGCATACATAAACAAATGCACCGCAACAAACCCGAACAAGCTGCGGAACAAAAAGCTTTAGAAAACCGCAGAATTTAATTCCTCGTTGTTTGAAAATGATGAATAGATAATGAACCTGTAAAGAGGGAAAATGTTCTCCATGTACTGATGCCGACCCTCGCTTTGTGTTATGCCTCTTATATGTACAAGAACAGTTATTGCAATGGCGAGAGCCACGGCGCAACCTGACAAGAAGCCTGTAGACGAAGATGAGATTTTAGTCTACGAGAAAGAAAACAAAAGCCATTCTTTTTTTAGTTTTAGTCATCACAATGTATACCGAGGAAGTATGTGATTCTGTGTTTCTCCCTTTTAAGTTTAGGCCTTAAACACTTCATTCCTTCTCGGTGATTTCCATTGGCGAAATGCTTAATAAACGTTGCTTCCACTCTCGACATGAGCCTCGAGACCTGTAAATGTAAAGATCAGCCTGGTTTTAACATTAATGAAAAGTGGATGTGAATAAGATTAGTAATAACCTCATCGCAGCTGCCCAAATAAGAGTGGTCGACTGTATTTAGATATGGCTTTGATGCATTCCTCAAAGTAGTCTGCGAAAAATTACACAAATATCAATATCAAATCACAGCAAGAACAAACAAGATTCTTCATTAGAAGAAGCTAACAAACCTTGTCATACTTCTTTAGTATCTTTGCAAATGCCAATTGATTCAAGAAACTGCAAAAAGAGAGATGATGATAAACAGAGTTTTAGAGAAAGCAGAGAAGAAGAGAGGATCCATAGAAAAACATTTCTTACCAATAACTCTTTAAGAACCTTAGTTTCTGGTAGAACTCAACAAAAGCGCGGCTCATAAGCTCCTCGGCTCTCTTAAGCTCGACTTTGCTGAATGTTTGCTCATTTGAGAGACCATGGATCATGCATTTAAGAGTCGACAATGGAGTTTCGGGCTCGATTTTGAGCTTTATATGATCCAACACGTCCACTGAAGCAGGTTTAAAAACTTTTTTATCTTCTGTCGTTTCCATTTCTCTAATCACATCCATTGGTGAAGTTGCTACAATATCATTCACATAAATTTTATCAGAGCTATCTCCAAGCAGACTAAACAATGGCATCTGCTTCCGGGTACCGAGGAGATTAACAAATAAAATAAAAAAACACTTGGATTTGAATGAAATGGAGTTAAAAACCTGCCGTTCTGGCGGTTGCATGCGGAGAAGAAGGAGCACTAGAGACGCCATTAAAGTTAGGAGGAAGATGAACATTTGGATTCTCAACTTTAATTCTAAGAGCAATCAAAACGTTTAATTGTCTACTTAGCTCATCTGCTTCTTCCATTACACTCTCCACTTTCTGCTTATAAAATCTCAAAACTTTATTGAATTCACCGTCGAGTCTCCTGAAAAACTGAACCTCCATCTCTCCTCCTTCCTCGGCCGAGTCGAGAAACGTCGTCGTGTAGCTCCCAGTTTCGTCTTCGTTGATCAAAAGGATTTGTTCCTCATCGTCGTCGAAGAGATGGTAATGATGACGCTTGCTGCTTAGAGGATTGTTATGTTTATGTGATTTCTTTGGTGATCCTTTTGCTCTGTTTGTTAGACCGCTAAATGCGCGGTAAAGCGAGATTCTTCTCGATAATCCGGCGGCGCCGGTTCCTCCTCCGCTTTCTCCGCCGTCGTTTGACCCGAGCGGAGTCGTTTCTTC